AGCAATGGGTCAAGGAAAAAGCTTGTGCAGACGGAGCCTACTGGCCCAAGCTGATTGGGCAGAAGCGCTCCCAGACGTGCATGTGACGCGTCCAGAACTCAGCCGTTGTGGGGAGTTCGCGAGTGAAACTGCTGCCGTCGATTCCGCGGCCTAATTATTCTTGCTTCTTGCCATTCGTGCTGGGAACCAGGTACCACATCGTCGCTGCGTCAGTCTTGGGCGTGAATCCATGAGGCGTTCTTAGTAAGGTTTAGTGCGGCTACGGACCCCTGCGTTCCAAGGTTGCCTGTGTGGCTCGTGAACATGCCACCTCTCCAAGAGAGTTAGGCCGGACTCTGCGTAACAGACAGTCCCCAGTAGTAGCCGGTACCTGCACTGCACTTGCTCTGGGTCGCAACACCACGGACACATATCCCAAACCAGCATATCCAACCAGCATGACAGACCAGTTATTAGAGCAAGCGCGCGATGCGTTCGAGGGCCAGATTGTACGCGGCAGCAACGCTACTGCGTTACCATACACATTGGCTAACACGAACAGGACTTCGAGGGCCAGAGGCTTGCAGAGATGCTGAGTACCGTCCTGCTCGGAGCGGCTGGTGTATGGCGTCCCTCTATCTAAGATGCGGTTCAAGAGGCTAACTGGTGTAGATCATTGCATTCATCGTTGGCTTCCTGCAGCAGGACATTCGACTAGCACTCTACATTGGCCTCGCCGGCTCCGCCCTCACATTCCTCGTTGTCGTACCCCCGTGGCCGTTCTACAACAAGAACCCCGAAGACTGGCTCCCACCGTACAACTCAACGCCACAGTACAACATCGACGTGGACGGGCAGAAAATCGGATAGCTGGCTGGTCGCATGTAGCAAGAGAAGGAGGAAATGCATGCTCAGAACACACTTCATGATCGTAATGGAATCTGATTCGATGATGATGACCGCCTATGCTGCTACTTGGTGCTCTCATAGCCCTTTTGTGAAGGCCCTACTAACGCCGGACGACCGAAGGAAACCAAGACCCATGTTTGTTTCTGTTGAAACCCATCTCCTTACAGCTTTCGCCAGCGCTCATCGACCATACTTCTGGAACTCCCAGTCTCGGTTGTCTAGCGGGCACACTTGGCGGGTCTTGAGCCATCGTGAAATGCAGTGGAAGTGGAAGGCGTGCTGTCATGTGTTAGTGTGAACCACAGAAGCCTTGTCGCGGAACGTACGTTGCAGATGCCCCAGGCGACTGTGCATTCCTCGCTGGTGGCGGAGGCTTGGTTGGCCTGGCATTCGATGCAGAGGTCCATGATGTGGTTACGGCAGATGGCGCAGTTGTCGACGACGATATCCCAAGCCCAGAGAGCGACTGCGTTCCACTGAGTAATGTTAGCTTTGACCATCCTGTGTTGTCGTCTGTCATGTAATGCCTACCTTCTTGACCTCAAACCGTTTCTTGTCGCCCTCTCCAGCAGCACTGGCCTTGCCCGTCTTGGTCTTCGCCGGGGGCGCATCTGCCATGTCCACGTCCGCCATTGGTGTCTGGTGTATTGGTGTAGCGGGGGTTGCGGGGACTTGGTTGAAGTTGAAGCTCGCGAGGTGGAGCGAGAGCGGTCGTGGGCGGTGAGCAGGTTGTGGCGTTTGAACAAGCACTTCTCACAGCTTCCAGAACAATGTCGAGTGGCGAAGTGCTGTTAAGGTGGCGCCAGTGTGTTTACAAGGTGAAGGCGCAGTGTGCAGGCGTCAGGCTCCAGCTGCGAGCTCCAAATTGCCAAGACCGGCCCCGTCGACCAACTCTGGGACGACGTAACGGATGAACGAGAATGCCGATTATTTCGCTAAACGTCCAAAATCTTTCCAGACGAACAAACGTCGAAACCCCAACAGTTGTCACGATCCCGAAACCGACGTCCAACAAACTTCCGCTTCCATCATACCCAAGGTGCCAACCACTCAGCCCTACGCCGCCGCAATCGTCAGTGCGCCTTGCCGAGATCAGCCTTGTTTGATCACAGCCACCTCCGCGCCGTTCACCGTCGATGCGACCGATTCTGCTCACGACACCCTCACTCTTCGCCCTAATTCACCCGACGGCGCGTGCCTATCCATACCCCGCGAATCTGGATATGACCACTTCAACATCTAACCCTTACCCAATCCTACCTTATCAGACACAGACAAAGACACAGACCGCGTCATCGCCCACCTTCCAACCCACTTGCATATCACGAACCAAGAGCGTCCGCCTGCGCCCCTCCAGATAACTTGCACTCACCCCATAGCAATACACTACAGCCTGCGCCTCACATGTCGACGGCACAGACTACTGCCTCTCCACGCGCTCCCCGGGGCAAGCCGCAGAGCCCAGCTCACGCACCGCACACCAACCAGGGCCGACAGTCGCAACGGAAACCGCGAGGCAACCGCGCACACAATGGCTATAACCAGAATCACCACAATGGAGCAGGAGCCTCCCCGAGCAAGATGCCCGCTGAACTTGCCCACGCGGAAGGCGCGGCTTACTCGGGTGAGGACGCGCAGCTACCCTCAGGCCCGCGCAACATGAGAAAGTCCAACCAGTCTCACCCGTCCATCGACCATGTCTTCTCTCCTCCAGAATCAGAGCCCGTTCCTATCAACCCGTCTGCTACTCCGGCCAAGGTCCAGGCTGCCTACGCTGGACCTACTTTTCATGCCTCTCCTGCGCCTTCTGCTCTGCCTATACCCAAGTTTCTTTCTCGTTCTGTGCCGGCCAAGACGCGTGCTGGTCCTCCAACACCTCCGCCCGAAGATATTTCTGATTCTGCTTCTCCAAGTCCTTCTGCTTCTCCTTCTCGTGCCCCGGTGGCCGTTCCCCCTCGTGATGAACAGTCCCCGTTGGATCTGCTTTTCAAGGCCGATGCAGCGGAGAGAGCCAAAGGCAACCATGGACGCCCATTATCGTACGGAGCTTTCAACTCAGTGGATGCAGCCAAACCGCAGCACTTGAAGCATGATTCTTACCATTCCATGAACGGCGTTTTCCCCATAGAGCTTGATGGTGAAAGCAAGCACGCGCACATGTCTCCTCCCCCCGTGGCATCACCAGCCTCCCACCGCTCCGTTACAGATCCCAACCAGGTCCCACAATTAAAGGACATGCAACAACAGGGCAATGGCAATGACGTTATGCAAGACCTATTCAATCGACTTTCAATGTCGCAGAAAAAACCTTCTGCAACACCGCCTCGTCCAGATCCTCAAGGACCGCAAGGCTTTTCAAGCCAAACACCGTCACCTTTCCATGGAGGCCAGCATCCTGCCCAAAATGCATCAGGGCCCACCACACCGCAGACACAGCCAACCAACCAAGACTCTGACTTTTTCTATGGCAACCGAAACCTCTCCCCACTATTCAAAGCAGCAAAGGGCGATTTAGCAAAGAAACGCAACTCTGGTCTTCGCACTGAGATCTCGGCTGAGTCTCCTATGGTTGGACAAGGCGATTTCCAGGGTTTTCCTTCTGTTCCTCCAGCTCAAATGATGGATCCCAACGCTTTCTCTCGAATCCAACTAGGAAACGGCAATGGAGGCCACCCGAATGCGCCTCGTTCATCAGCACCTTTTGTGCAACACTATCAGCAGAGCCCTAATAACCGCAGGAGGACCCCGGGTCGACAGCCACACCAACCTCGCCCAGATTTCAATCAGACGAGAGGCAACATGCCTGGACCTGGCAAAACTGCCGCCAACGGCCCTCCAGCGTCTGCCGCGAAGCCTCTTACAAGCATGATGTCCTTTGTCCCTTCCTCGGTCGCAGCCAAACAACGCAAGACATCAGCACCTGCCGCTACCGCTTCACCAATGAAAACCTCTACCCCTTCCGATACGTTGTCCTTGGAGCAGGATCTTAAACGTCTGCTTAATCTCAATCCGGCTGGCGAGTCCAGCGTCAGGTAGCCTGTCGTCTTCACGAAATTTCTCATATTCGGACATATATTTCGTCCGTTACCTTCATTTGTTCATATGGGATTTCTATTTGTTTCATGTTCATGGCGCATGATTGTACTGTCATTTCATTTGGAGTTCACGGCGTTACGAGCGACTTGTTGTCGCCTGTTTCCATGGTTGTAGTGAGCATTGACGGGTACGTCGTCTCAGGTTCTTTTGCCCAGCGCAAGCGTTTCTTTCGTCACTGTTCATGAATGAGTGCATGGACATGGGATTCCAAGATTTGGACACTAGGCGTTCTCTGGCATCACGTTTCATGTTACGGTGCCTAGGCACTTTTTGAGGTTGTCTCGACGGGCTGTGAGGAGTCAGCTTCCTCCGACAATGTTCTGCTGTCCACAATCTGGATCCAGGCACGACTCAACTCGAGTACTATGACTACACAACCACAAACCATAAGTAAAAATCAAGAAAAAAAAATATAAGGGCATGATGCTCGGCTCTGGTGCTTCTCTTGGGAGGCACAGGGTTTTCATGTCCAAACATGGTTTTTGTTCTGCACATTTTCATGACGGTGAGATGTTGATACATGACATGCCCTTCTCTTTAGTTCATAGTATCTCGTTTTCATCGTGCAAGCTCCGTAGCCAGAACGACAGATGACATGGGCAAGAGTAGGACACAATAAAGCCGATCAGTCGATGGGCGAGGTCAACGTTGTCGGTCCGAAGCCTGTCAGTTGCATTTCAATCTTCTCTGAATTCTCGTGTTCTTATTTCCTCTTCAGCTGGCTTACTGTAGTAGGAGCTTGACTGGGCTCTCACTTTCACTATTCGACGTCACTGGTACCACAGACCCGTCCTAGCTTGGAGCTGAGCGCGATGTGCCTCACCGTGAAATCTTCCAAACGGTATATGCTCACTCTACTATCGTCATCGCGCCCTTTTCCATCCACAATTCCTCGCATCACCACCCACTCGTTTCGGTGCTGAACACGCGCAACTGAGCGATATTTGTATTACTTAGCTAATCCGACGTACTGATTCAACCCCCACTTCTTATAACTGTCATCGCAACCGATCAGGATGAAGAGTCTTCGGAGCAAAGGTGAGCTGTCGTGACACTTTCTGCACGGTATCTGACCGATTGCGTCTCCCGCTCTCGCATACCGACTGCAAACGATCAGTGCTAATGGGCATACAGCCTCGCACTTCTTTCGAGATAGCCCAAGTCGTGATGAGAAGACCGCCATTACCGATAGCTCAGATGCCGACTTCGACGCTGGGATCCAAGATGCTGGTATGAAGAACAAGTGTGGGTATTCGTTTGCATGTAGGCGCGGGCATGTAACTAATTCAAACTCGTAGCATCGCGGTTCTTCCGGCGCAGAAACGACAAGCCGGATACGCCAATGCCCATTCTGTCTTCCAAATCTTCATCGTCGACACTGTTTGCACTGGTCTCCGACCGTGTAACCCCGACAGAACTTGGCGATAGCTTTGAGAACTTGCCCGAATTTGAAGATGACGACGAGGAAAACACAAATGCACCTCTACCAGTTTCGCGCAACTCTTCGGCTATGTCAGAGCACAAACATACCAATGGTGGTCTTAACTTGCATCGACCTAAGTCTCGCCCCAGCTTCGCATTGCTGAAGGCCAAAGGCATGTTACTCACTATTTGTACACATGTCGGCTCAACATTGACTTAGATCCTAGGCTCGCGCCTATTCGGAGGCAGTAAGGACAGCGGCTCTACGCAGTCAACACCGCCCCCGCCAATTCCACAGGTTCCGAAAGGCGTGTCACTTTCCAAGTCACGTCGTCCTATTCTTACACCTTCAGCCGCAGCTCGTGGGTCGCGCATATCTCTTACCAAGGCTCAAGGCCACACTATCTCCATCTCGCGCCCTCGACTTATGGCACAGCTCTGCAGTTCTCCTATCCTAGAGAACCCTATCACGGTACCTTTCGAGATGCGCCCCGGCCCGCCACCTGTTCGTCCTCCTCGGCCAGATAGTCTCGATGAAGAGACGCTAGCTTTTATGCGCGAAAGTGGTACTCGTATATTTCTTTTGTCCAGCAACCGTGGTAGCGCAAGCATGGCGACGACTTCCACACCTCGTAGTCAATCCAGTTCCATCGAGGCGCGCCTTGGATTCCCTTCTGGCTGCGGTACTACTCCACGCAGCTGTTCCATTGAATCACCCCTTGCAGCGCGCTTCATGCTAGATTCTAATCAGCGTCTGACCGTTCGCGACAGCAGTGATGGTGTGGGATACAGTCGCTTCAGCGAGTATGTTAGATTTCAACACGACAGTGTACGTGCGGCGGATGGTGTTGATGCAGACTATCGGGAGATCGGACCTATTGAGAGGTATGATGCCAGCAAGGAAGGCGACTGGATGCTTGAGAAGCGGGTTCCCCAAGGACGCGATGGGAAGGGAGGCGGCATGTTGTTTCGCGACAAGTGGGGTGGCTTCCACTTTGTCGCTGATATCTGAGGTCGATCTGGCCGAGTTGTTAGTGGCTGCCAGGGTGCATTGAAGGAAAGTGGTGAGGATATGAACATGTCGTTGTTTTCATATGAGAAACACACAAGACTGCTCCGGGTCATATGAAGAGATTGTTCGCCCTTCGCATAAACGTGGAAGATATCCGGGTAGTGAAAATTGATGAGTAAATGATGGACGTCTTTAGCAGGAATAGCTTTGCCTTGTGTTTCCCACTCCTGCGCCGCAGCAAGTCGTTGGACAGAAATTACTGGTTTATATATGTCCTCCCCCCATCAAATCACTAGCCTGTCAACGATTCTTCAGGATTAGGCTTGCAGCATATGAATCTCCCAGTCGTATTCATTTATCTCGAATATCCTCGCTCTCTGCCTTCGTGTTATCTCTACAACCATTGCACTTTCTCGATTTCCCGATTGATCTGCACTGCACGGTTTGTGAGATGACCGAGACAACCACGAGAATGAGAGAGTTTGATGTCGCCGAACGAAGCGGTACACTGTCAATAGATTCGTCAGTCACCACTTCGAAACCCAGGATCTGAGCAATTCTGAGTGGAACGAATATACAAAGAAACTGTGGAATTCCTATCATACTGCGCGTAAGACTTGGCATTGGAGGAGGGCAACATGAGAGGTCATGGCAAAACATGGTTTCAAAGACTATGTATGATAGAGACATGAGAATGGAGCACAAAAGACTGGACTAGAACAGCATAAAACGGACGTATGAACCAGAACGAGACTCCGAAAATCTTCCAGAAGCTAGTACCAAACGCGAGTAAAGTCAGCACATTGATGTTTCTGCAAGATAGAATAGTAGTATGTGTGTTGTCATCAAACGAGGGAAACTACCTTCGTCCCCCTCATGATCATGCAGTGGTATCTAACAGAGCTCAAAGGCATTCATTTTCAATTACCAGTCAAGTTCACATCGCGAATCAGAATATCCTCGTCCTTTCGATATGGGATACCTGCCTTCTGCCTCGCCATATCGTTGATCCACTGGCCATTAGGAGCGACATGCTCACCTTTGGAGAGCTCATCCGCCAGATAAAGCCATGCCAGCGCGTTACCCACAGTACTGACTTCATCGCTAACGTGGTTACTCGCGTACTCTGACATGGTTGAGTGGAGTTCCGAATCGGTGAACAGATCGTACAAGTGCTTCGCAACAGCGTCGTGATCACCAGGCTTAACTAGGAAGCCAGATTTTCCATCTTGAACTTGCAGAGGGATACCACCAGCGAGAGTTGCGATTATGGGAGTACCTTTGTGGAGCGCTTCGCTGACCTTGACTTCGAAGCCTTCACGAGTGGAGAGCTGAAGGGCGACGTGGGCACAGGACATGAGTGCGTTAAGCATTTGATCTGATGGGCCGATGCGCATGATGATGACATCATCCTTGAACTCATTGTAGTCTCCGTTGAGAGCAGTCTCGGTTTCCTTGAAGATTCTGGTAGCATCGGGATCATCAACTGCACCATGTCCAGCTATCACGAGCTGCGGAATATCTGCAAGAGGCGTGTCTTTCATGTAATTCTTGCGTAACCTGGCGTATGACGCGAGAACATCTGGTATGCCCTTCGCCGGATCGAAGCGAGCGATCTGAACAATGTACTTGCGGTCCGGATGAGCCAGTTGACGCATGCCGGCCGCAAAGCACTGAACCTTGAGCTCATGAAGGTAGTACTGCTCATCCCAGGGGTGCATGTGCTTATTCAGGCCGTCTAGCCAATCTGTAGTCGCAGGCAGGTAACCAACTTTTTCAGGTGTAACTGTCTTGGGTACAAAAGCTCGAACAGGGTGGCTAACAAAGACGTCACAGTCTTTGACATGGTTCCAAATCCAATTCCACACCTCGGATGTAGGGGTACCTTCCTGATCAGCCAGGTCAGCTCGAACCTGGATATGACTGCGGAAGATGACCGGACGGCTAGAAAACTGAGTCAGCACACAGAAGAAATGACAAAGGTTTGGCCGCAAATTAGGTATACTGACCTGGAATCTTTCTCCTTGGCAATCTTGACAAGACTCGGCATTTGAGGATCATCAACAATAATCACATCGGCGCCGCCCTTCTCACGAGCCGCAAGAGGGCCACCAAATTCAACCCAGTGACACTTCTCAGCCTCCTCAACTACCCAAGCATCGAGCTCGGCGATCTTGTCGTCGGTAAGACGCTCACCGGCCGTTGCGACACCTTGGAGGATGTTGTGATTGTCCTTGGTAATCCTGAAGATATCCGTCTTTCCGTATGGAACGTACCATCTGCAGTCTATGCCAAGAAGACTCAGATATCTCATCAAAGCATGTCTCATAAGAGCAACACCTCCACCCTGTGCTGTGCTGTTGAAAAATGCGATCTTGATCCTTCTATGCTTTAGCGAGTTGGCGTAGTGCATAGTTGCAGCCCCTGTAGTATCTGCCCTAACAGTAGAGTCGTAACTTTCGCGCTCGGCTATGTGCACTCGACTGTCAAGATCAACCAAGACCTGGCGGCGATGGCCCATCTGAACAGGTAATTCGCCCTTTACGTTGAATTGCTTTACTGTCTTCCTGGCCATATGCTCGGCTTCCTGATCAGGAGGGATTGATATCTCGTCTTTGTCCTTCGCATCGGCAGGGAAGATGAATGGGATGATGTCTAGTTCGGTCCATAGGCGTACAGCAAGATGCGGGCTTAGGCTCGCGAGATGGGTCGTCAGAGTAGCACCCATAGGCTTGGACAGATTATTCTCCCGATAATTGCTAAGGAATTCGATGAAGGCTTTGGCTAGAGCTTCAGAAACGTCCCCAACAGACATTGGTGTAGAGACTCCTGATCCAACGCGGGATGATTCGTTCGATGAGTTGCCGTCACCTACAGTCCTAGGCGGCTCTAGGGATTGGCTTTCGCAGTTGATGGTGTAGGTTCCATCATGCAAAGCGATGCAATAACGCAAGTCTCCATCGTCCGATTGAGCGACAGCAAGGCCTGCATAGAGAGGCTGCCAAATCCACATGTTAGCAGAAAATCTTGAGGATGTAAATTTAGTGGTACTGACCTCGACAGCAGCCGCAAGAGTTCCCTTTTGTTCCTTGAGTTTGTGGAGTGCATCAGATGATTTGAATGAGGTGATGCTGAGCTGACGTCGCTCGTAAGTCGACGAGTGACGTCGGTGCATATGTGTGGGCCGCTGCTCGGTAGTATCGTCACGTTGGAGCGACATGGTGAACACTAGTGTTGGAGTTGGTTCTGTAAGAAAATGAAGTCGAAAGTCTGATGTAGCGATTAGTCGATTGATAACAAGTAGCAAATAATAGCAATCTTCGATGACAGCGAAGAATGTTCTGTACTGGAACAAAACCACAGGCGAGTGTAGCGCTTTTATGGTGAGTCTGGGCAGTAGCCTGTGACTGCCACGGACACTGAAGCGGCCACGGCGATTGCGAGCATGCTAAGTGCAGCATGAATATCACACCAGGAAGCAGTGGCGATTGCTGGTAGCCAGTAGACCACAGGCCGGCACGGGCCGTGGGATCACGCATTGAAGAGGATACGCAACGTCGGCTGTTGGAAAACGGTGAATGGAAAGATGTAGATCACAGGGTGCATTCACCGTGGCGACCAGCAGGCAAAAAGATAGACACGGGGGGATGGGGTGACGCGACGATAGCCCTTACTGCGGGCCGAGATCTGGTGAGGTGAGCATTCCGAGATGGCTTCCAAGCCTACGCGACAACGCTAGGCACTTTCACGTGTGACTACGAATAGGAAAGAGCGACGATTACACGCTTGTCAGCTCGTCACGGCACAACGGCGAAGACGACCATGTTGCGGGATTCGTTGGTCTCGATGCAGTGGAAGAGTGCGTCCTTTGACATGAACGAGTTTTCCGTGGCTGTCTTGGGCGAATCAGCCGGCAGCACGGGGCGCTCGAGGGGCCGCGTGCCATCGGTTTGCCTAGGTAGGATTCAGCCGCCAAACGCGTCGTGTAACCATCGTGATTACACGTGAACTAGCACCGCAGATGGAGTGGAAACGGGAGACAGCGTTGTTCGATGTGAAGGGTGGTGCTACGGATATAAGGTCTCATGCAAGGTAGAAAGCATGGACTAGCTCCGGGCTCCAACAATTTGCATAATCTGGGCCGCCATGACACATTGAACTATATATGCACAGTCGATCTTCCAAAGACGCTTGGGATTGCAGCAAATGGGCAACTGGCTAGAAGATATCGTGGGGGTGGCAAGTTGCTGTGGAACAACGTCGTTTAAGTCGACATACAACTGGGGTGCTGATGTAAGGCAAGAAAGCCCATTGTGCCAAAACAGGACAAACACGTGTGATATGCAACTTGGCCAAATGCCCTCTAGCGTGGCGGGAACGGCAGCGTTAGTGCCAGCAAGGGTCCGTCATGATGGGGTGGAGCGGAGCGCCCGACACGAATGGGAGAGGAGATGCAGGCGAGGCCTTGGGATGAGAGGAGCCGGATGCGGGGAGGGAGAGTACCGCGGGCGCATGTCCCAATAGCGCCAGTGGTGCGAGATGTTGTCGTGGCTGAAGAGCAGCTCGGCGCAAACTCCAGATGCTGATGTTTCCCGCCTGCCGGATTTGAAACGCTGCTTCCTCCGTGCAAGCCAAGCAAAAGCACCAACCACAGACCCACCCATCTTGCGCTCAAACCTCAGCGATCTCACAGCCACCACACCAACTGCACTCGTCTGCATCCCTATCTGGCTTCATTCACCATCCATCCATCCGATACCCGTCGCGCCCACCAAAGGGCCGGCCCCGTCAACGTGTACCAGTTTAGATAGCTTGTCTTAGCTGTGCGACAACAGCCTTGCGACCACCAGGCATCTACACGACCCCGTCGCATACCGCGCCCTGCTGTTCGCGTCTGAATAGCGCACGACGCGAAGCACATCGACAGCTCATCCTCGCACCATCCTCCACGCGCGCGCGTCAACTTCCAGCATGAACCACTACCCTCCCCGTGTCATGGGAGGCCCCCAAGGCAACGAGCCAGCCCAACGCCTCAATCAGCTGCTCGACAACATCAAGACCGAGTTTGAAACCGAGTCGCAGCGTAGCATCGATGCCGAAGGCCAAAGTGAGTCTCCTCCATGCTATTCAGCCGCGCATTGAGGCAGCCGTATTTCGACGCGGAACCATCTCCGGAGCAAACTTTCTGCGCATGTCCTTGACTGTATCTCATTGCGAAAAGCTCGATATCTTCCCATGAACAGCTGCTGACTGCTTCTCCCAGTTTCCCGCCACATTCAGGAGATTGAGTTGATCCGCGGCAAGGTCTACTCGCTCGAACAATCACACAACCAGATGAAAGCAAAGTGAGCCCATCTTTACTCACCGCTCAGGAACACTGCTGCAGTACCTTGGATGCTGACTTGCACTGTAGATACGAGGAGCGCATCGCCCAGCTCGAGCGCGAACTTGAAGCTCGCGGCGGCCCCAGCCAGAGCTCGCAGCACCACGGCCCCTCGCAGCCTCAGCCACCTCAGATTGGCCATGGACCTAGTAACTTGTTCGGCGGCATAATGGCAGGCAGTGCTGCCCAAGGTGGCCCGGGACTGGCACCTCCCCCACAGGAGCCGCCCCAGGGCCATGGCATGCCGCCGCAATTGGGAGGTCCCCAAGGCCCGCCCGGACTCAACCCTGCTCCTGGCCCACCACAGCACTTTGGCGGCTACCAGCAGGGTCCATCTGTAAATGGTGAGTTTCAACAAGTCCCTACCATCAACTTGGTCTTGGCTAATACGTCGCAGGTTATGGTCAGCCTCCACAGCCCACTGCCTCCCCTGGTGCTAAGCGTCCAGGTCCTGCTCGCGGTCCTCCCAACGGCCCTCCCAACCCCGCGACTCCTCAGCAGAACAATCCTGCTCCGTATCCCGGATCGCCTCAAGTCCCGCGACCAACTCCTCCCCCCAACCATCATCAGCAGCCGAATGCTTTGATGGCGCCCAACCACATTCCTCTCAGCCAGAGCAACGTCTTGGCTGACCTAGATATCGAGCAGTTGCCAGAGAACCTGAAGAAGGAGGGCAGCGATTGGTTTGCTGTCTTCAACCCTCGCTCCAGGCGCGTGCTTGATGTCGACTTGATCCATAACTTGCCACATCAGAGCGTGGTTTGCTGTGTACGCTTCAGTTTGGATGGTAGGTGGGTTGCGACTGGTTGTAACCGCTCGGCCCAGATTTTCGATGTCGAGACTGGTAACCCTGTCGCGCATCTTCAGGACGGAAGCCTTCCCGAGGATGGTGATTTGTACATCAGGAGTGTTTGCTTCAGCCCCAACGGGCAATACCTCGCAACCGGTGCTGAGGACAAGGTCATCAGGGTAAGTCATCTCGACACGTAATAAATTCGAAAATAGCTAACGCCTAGCTAGGTTTGGGACATCGCTAGCCGCACCATTAAGCACCAATTCACTGGACACGAGCAGGACATCTACTCGCTGGACTTTGCCAGGAACGGCAAAATCATTGCATCTGGTAGTGGTGATAGGAGTGTCCGTCTTTGGGATCTTGAGTCCAACATGCAAGTCTCCAACTTCTCCATTGAGGACGGTGTCACCACTGTGGCGATCTCTCCAGACAACCTCTACGTTGCAGCCGGATCGCTCGACAAGAGCGTCCGCGTGTGGGACATTCAGACTGGACAGCTTGTTGTGCGCCTCGAAGGCGAGCACGGCCACAAGGACAGTGTCTACAGTGTGGCTTTCGCTCCTTCCGGAAACCGTCTTGTCAGTGGCAGTCTGGACAAGACAATCAAGATGTGGGAGTTGTCAACCAACAACCGCTTTGTCCCAGGCGGGCACCAGCCGAGCGGCAAGTGCATCCGCACTTTTGAGGGTCACAAGGACTTTGTGCTCAGTGTTGCGCTTACCCCACATGGTGACTGGGTGCTGAGTGGTTCCAAAGACCGTGGTGTCCAGTTCTGGGACCCTCACACTGGTGTCGCGCAACTCATGTTGCAAGGACACAAGAACTCAGGTACGTTTGAGATAGCTTCAAGGCTTGCACAAGTCGCTAACAAAGTTCCTCCAGTCATCTCTGTAGCCCCTAGCCCCACAGGAGGCGTTTTCGCTACCGGCAGTGGTGACATGCGTGCGCGTATCTGGAGATTCGACAGATATCCCGGACCTTAGGCCAGTCATGGTTCTGAAGTCAGTCACGATACGTCGGGGTCATGGGAGGATTCTGAGGACGAGCAACTTCTGTGCAAGATAGAGTCCATTGATAGCCCATAGAGAGACGACTGGGCGGTTGGGGAAAACAGGCAAAGGAGCACGAGGACAATTGCGTTGTTTTCTTATTCTTTCGTGTTGGTTTGATGAAATCAGGCCTCTATTAGGTATTACTTTGATTCCCAATTTCCTTTACTATAGTGAATGCCGTTGGTGTCATGATTCGATACTGCTGCTTGAGTGTAGAATGTTGTACTATGTGATTCCAATTTCAGCTTTGCATCTCTGGAGTGCCCGCCCTGTCAGATTGAAATACGCATCGGATTGAACTTGCAGTCTACATGTAATGGAATGTATGAGTCTGAGAGATGAAATAGCGGTGACCGCTTTTCATCATGACTCATGCCATACTACGCTATGCACCAGGCGAACAAAGTCGCTAGCCAGTATTTCCAAAGACGAGTCAAACGCCATGAATGCTTCTTTCCCATCCGTCTACTAGTACAATCAAACATTACTCGGACCTGGGCCTTTGCCTTGGTCGAGCAGCAGATGCGGCTTGAGGAAGCCGTCGTCAATCTGCTTGAAAGCGTTGGCGGGATCGTGACTGATCTCGTTGAACAGCTGCTTCACTGCGCCTGTGGCAGTTGCGACCCTACTCGAGCCCTCTGCAGCACCGACCGGCCTTATGCCTGACGTCGGGTACGGAGATGGGTCGCTCAGTAATGGTGACGGACCGCGGTTGGGCGAGCGTCGTGCGCTAGGAGGAAGGTCAAGATCGATGTCATCCTCGTCAGCCGAACCACTATCAGCGGGGCTGAGTAGGTTTTGGTCTGCGCCGTCTTTGGCACGTGGATGGCTCGAATTACGTCGCATAGCGCCGTTAGGTCGTGTTGGTGGGCTGCTCCGACTAGCTGATCCACTTGAGTAGGTAGCGTCTGGCCCGTTGACATTATTGAGTGAAAAACCATTTTGGTTCAGGCGTGGAGTGTTTCCATAAGCTTGGCCCTGTTTGCGTGTGTAAGTGCCGCCATTAACGACCTCGATATCGAACTCGTCATCACTGTCAATCTCTTCAACTACACCAGTGCGGATGCCCAGGATTTCTAGCATACGCGCAGTGGTGCCTCCAAAGATGATGACAGTCAAGACGACTACAACGAGAACTGTGGCTCGCAGAGTATCGCCGTTGTTACCTGTGAGCCCTGCGGCAAGTGCAACACCTACAGCACCACGTAGACCTGCCCAATAGATCATAACCTGGTGGGAATAAGGAATCTCCTCTACGAGCTCGTCACCACGACGGCGCTGGCGATATCTTGTGACGGAGTTGATAAGCCTTGAAAGTGGAAATACTGCACACCAACGAGCGGCGCAAATGCCAAAGACGGTGATGAGAATAAAAAGTGGCTTGTAGTCGAGCTTGTCGTCAGTGAACAGAGACAAGCCCAGATAAATGAAGATGAAGTTCTCCGAGATCTGCGAGGTAACCTGAAAGACGAACTTGGTGGTTAATTGTGTTCGTCTTGACATATTGTGGTAGGCATAATGCTTCAAGCAGATTCCACAAAACAGAAGAGAAACGATGCCTGTAGGATGGTTAGCTGATGGCCGTACTGACTGCAGGGTAGTACCGACCAGACATGTGGATGGCGTTGGACAGAAAGTAAGTCAAGTACGCGGTAAGGATGATGAGACAACTCTCAGTCTTGGGGAATCGCCTAACATAGGTGAACTTGAGCATCAGAGATACGCCAATGCCGACCATGACACCAATAAACAGACTTCCAAAGAAGACGCCCATAAAGATACCTATGGCTTCAAAGAGGCTACCGATGCCGAGGTGTTCGGCACCGTCTTTGTATTTCTGGGCTGTCTCGAAGACGACGATGGCGATGGCATCGTTGAGAATAGACTCGCCGAAGATCAGCGTATATAGCTTTGGTTCTACCTTGTAAGTGTCGAAGATGGCGAGAATGGTTACGGGGTCGGTGGCCGAAAGCGTGGCGCCAACGGACATGGCCTCAACAAAGTTGATTTTGAAGCCATCGAGAGGTATTCTAGTCCACAGGAACAGAATAACGCCGAGGACTACGGCGGAGATGAAGGAGCCAGCGAAGGCAAAGGTGAGGATAGTTCCAATGTGTCGGAAAAAATTGCCTTGATGCAGTTCGTAGCCAGCTGAGAGGATAATGGGAGGCAGCAGTAAGTTGAAAAACATCTGATAGTCGAAACTGACGACATCTCGCACGGAACTGACTGCTGTCAGGCGCAGCAGCAGGCCAACGACCATTCCTGAAGGGCGTTAGCGAGGATCATAGCGCGATCACATTACGAGATGGACTAGGCGACATGGCAGGGTGGATATGTGCAGATTACCCCACAATTAGTCGGGTGATGGGCTTCAGGCTGCAAGTGATCGGATTTTGTGGCCTTGCCCATGCGCACTACGCCGAACTTGTCTCAACGGATGCCAAGCTTGCGCATAGGCCCAAGCAGGCGTCGAGGGTGGTGTGGGCACAAAATAACGTACCGGCAAAAATGGAGAGGACCGTCTCATGGACCGCCTGGATCTTGCGCGTGTGTAGGATATAGCTGGTGAAGAGGGCTATTATAAGGAGGATGATCAGAATGGACAGGGCCCATGATGTGAATATCTCCTTCTGGCCCGCCTCTGGCTCGTCTGTTGGGGCGCATTAGAGATGGGATCGCCGAGTGTGTGGTGGAGCGGGGAACTGACCGTCCGGGTCTGCGTCGGATGCATCGCGCTCTGCGGCCAACAGTCAGTACGTGGACGGGGGGCATTTCTGGAAGCTTCGAGGGCGCATACTGAGTAGCTGGCCGACTGCCCACCACCCCATTACTGACGCCATGGTGGACTCAAGGCCGGGCTGTCATCAACAGCGGGATCGAGTGCGATGTCGCTGGACGTGTGGGCGGGTGGCTGTTTGGTGGTGGTGGAGGAGGAGGAGGAGGAGGAGGATAGGATGCTGGGATGCCACCTGGGCTGCCTGGATGGGACGGACGGAGCAACCTGAGGCAACGTTGCGCGACGAGTCGTCGGTCGGGGTGCTCCGGTCACGGCGGCGGCGGACTGGCAGCGTGGGACGCAGCGGCGGCAGGGCGGTGCGGTGCGATGCGATGCGATGCGAGGCTGGCGACGTGCCAACGTGAAGGGTATTCACTTGTCGGGGCTCCTGACAGACGCGTCGCTGCCTTTGCACCCCGTCGAGCTGTCTCCATGTCTCGGCATGGCGTTCCAGCGAGCGCCAATCAGCTTGCGGCCTAGCGCCATGGACAAGGGTCCCGAACCGCTGATGCGACGACGTCATGGCACGCACACTGGCTAAGACGCCTGCATGACATCTACCTAGAATCACCTGCAAGACCTGCTAGACCCTTCACCAAGCCTCTCCGAGGACGGCTGGCAGACGCATGACCTACACCGCCTCTTGCTCAATCGTGACTCCCCGGCCGTTGTTATACCTGCCGTCGCCTTGCCCCCTCCCTCCTGCCTTTGAAGTAGTAGCACCCGCCCCGATTGTGAACTCTGGTCGAGATTCGAGATCGATCGCCGCCCCAAGCACCAGCCGTTCGACTAGCGGCTCTTCCACGGCCAAAGAGCATGGATTAAGTCCCGCCGCGCCACTTGACTTTTGTTGGTAGCCCTGCCTCTCACCACATCTCTCCACCTCTGCATCTCACAGTTACCCACCGTTACTCCTGCCAATCACAGTCTCACCGGCCCTTACAGCGAGCCCGTAAGCCACCAGGGCTGGACCACGTCGCACCCCCAGCCCACAGCAAGCACCACGCCCGTCGCGACTGCCACCTGTGCCAGCATGTCGTCTTCACGGCCCGACGGCGGGGACTCGCCCTCGTCGTCACCTCTTTCCTCTCCCCCCTCTAAACTCGACACTTCAACTCGCCCGCGACCACGACCCAAGCTCGTTTCCTTTGGCCGCGACTCGCTCATGGGCGGACGGCCAGACACTGAGGGCCACACCCACGTAGAATTCATCCACGAGAACTCGCCCACCATTATCCCCCAGAGAATGTCTTCCGAAGTCGATCCGCTCCTTAAGGAGGCCTTGTCGCCTGACGACGACGACGACGACTGGCTGGGCGAACAACAGGTCGAGGAGACCAAGAGCAGTTGGTTCCTGTTCTTGCTCACCTTTGGTGGCCTGGGCCTGCAAATAGGATGGTCCGTAGAGACTTCCAATGGATCCGTAAGTGCTTTTTCTCGAAGCGAATCTTCTCGAGGACGACATGGACCCTGCATGTAGATCCGGCCCATGAGGACCCTTGGGCGTACTGTCACTGAGGTTGTGTGAGCCATGCATGCATGATCCGTCGGACCACCGCAGCTTGTTTTCATGTGCGAAATATGCTAACCGTGTATACAGCCGTACCTACTCTCACTCGGTTTGAGCAAGTCGATGCTTGCCCTCGTGTGGATTGCCGGCCCGCTCTCCGGTGTGCTCGTGCAACCCTATGTCGGTCTCAAGAGTGACAACTGCCGTCTGCGCTGGGGAAAGCGGAGGCCTTTCATCATCGGCGGTGCCGCTGCAACCATCGTGTCCCTCATGGTCCTCGCTTGGGCAAGGGAAATCATCGGTGGTTTTCTGGGCCTCTTCGGTGCTGACCCAGAGTCAAATGGTGTCAAGACATGCATAATGCTGTTCGCCGTCTTGTTCGTATACGTGCTGGATTTCGCTATCAACGTCATCCAAGCCGGTGTACGAGCATACATTGTCGATGTAGCACCCACTCATCAACAAGAGTCTGCCAATGCATGGCTCATGCGCTCCGCTGGTATTGGCAATATTTTGGGCTACCTGGCGGGTTATATCAACCTACCAGACTACCTTCCATGGCTCGGTGGCACACAGTTCAAGGTCCTGTGCGCTATCGCCTCCTTTGTTATGATCCTCACGGTCGGCATCAGTTGCTCAACC